CACACTTTAATATCCCAACAATCTTCCCTTCAAGTGTGAAATCCAGTATTGGTATGCTCCCCCCAATCAGTACCTAGGTCCAAGCATTTAACTCGTCTCCTAGTCAAACACCACCAGGCTAGCTCGACCTGACCCAGATCTCATACCACTGTCAAGCGAGTCCAGGAGGAGCTTGTGGTGGGGGACCACCACCAATGGGCTAAGTTAAGTCAATCATACCAAGAGGATCCGACACCATGTTACAACCCAAAACATTAAAGCATTGGTTCATGGGTTCTCTTCACTTAGCCCATTATCAACTAATGTGGGACTCAACACACTTAAAAGTCCCAACAATAATGTTACATAAATATGATATAAAAAAATTATTAATATAACATTACTTAATAATTTAGGTTTTTGACTTAAATTCGTTCTTTGCCCCGTATAGTTTTTTTTTTTAAATACCTTTTATTATAAAAATAAAATTTATTATTCTAATAAAATACCATTAGTTAAATAAAAAAAATTCTCTTAAATTGTATCACTTCTCTTAGTTGATAGAAAATATTTTTATTTCTTTAACAACAATGTTTTATCAAAGATATATAAAAGAAAAAAAATTCCTACTAAATTTATCCAAGAAGAAGATATCACATGACACAAAACATTAATTATAACATAAGAGTTCTGGATAGCTCACATGCATAGGCCCAACCACTGGGTCCGGTCTAAAAAGCCCACTACTAGTAGTTAGGATTCCTGTTGCGTAATATCAGCAAGTGCACCGATCGTACCAAGTAATAAAAAGTGAGTAAGAATATCGTCCCACGAGGATTGCGGCACCAAATTTAATTTAACTTTTCCTTTCTTATTGGATTAACAAAAAGAGGTTTTTGAAATAATTATGTTGTGACAATTGTGAACTATTCAATATTTCGTGAACAATTCAAAAAGAAGTTTGAAGAATTTAAAATAAAAGGTTTGAGAGTTGAGAAAAATATATAAAAAGCTATTGCAGTAAAGGACTCCAACACCTTTCCGATCCCCAACTTGTAATCTTGATTAATATTTATATTTAATTACCCAATTGATCAAACAATTCACCATCTATTTATTAATTAGTTAAGCCTTAATCCCTTAGTGATCTTAACTTTATTAACCCTATTAGAATCCTAATCCCTTAGAAATCCTTTTTCAAGTTAATCTTTAAGCCCAGTGAATTTTCCACGTTTGCAGTTCATATAGCCTATCCCTAGTGCATACATGAACAGTTATCTTACCCTTTGTCAGGAATTAGAATCCCAATATTCCTATTGAAAACCCTAACACTCGCAATCCTAATAGAGTGATCAATTCTAAAAGAATTAAAAGATGAAGAACAAGATAAAATAAATGCAATTTAAATAATTAAATATAAAAATTAACCAAACTACAAGGGGTTCACATTAAGGGTTGTGACCCTTACCACAATAATACAAACTAGCCAGACATATTCATGTCTGATAATTCAAAATATTCAAAGGAATTCATAAAATAAAATAATAAAACCAGAATATTGGAGAAGAAGCTTGCTCTGCGTTCTGCCTCCGTCTTCCTCTCTGTGCAAAAGTGTTTTCCTCTTGAGGTCTGAATCTCTATTTATAGAGTTTTTGACCTAGTGTAGAAATCTTGATTGAATCTTCATTTAAAACTTTCTTTTAATCTTCTGCTGATACTGATCAGATTTAATATTGAATTTCCGCACCTCCCACGCTACTAGCGTGGTTCCCACGCTGAGCGTGGAAGTTTTTGTGAAGAATCCTGGAGCTCCACGCAACTAGCGTGGTTGCCACGCTTCAAGCGTGGGTATGTGAAAAGTCTGGCGCTACTAGCGTCAATCCTACGCTAGTAGCGTGGTAGCTTCTGCCTGAATTGGATGTATGGCGCCACTAGCGTGAATCCCACGCTAGTGGCATGGATGCCTCTGGCTGAAAAGCTCATTTCATGCTTTGAGCGTCATACCCACACTGTGAGTGTGGGACTTCAGTTTAGCTTTTTTCCTTTTTAGCTCCAGTTCGTCTGTTTTTCCTACGAAATCAACATAAAATCAGTATGCAATCTCTGATTGGCATTTTAACAGATCAACAGTAATATTTTCCCTTTTTGCTTAAGATTTAATCAACATTCTTTCTCTTTTTGGCTTAGATTTCCTTATATGCTGAATGCATATCAAACAATTCCCAGATTTGAACTTTGCTGTCCTCAGCAATGTAATAGATTAAAGTTATCAGCAGAGAATAATTCTGTGAAAACATGGAACACAACATCTTAAGAATTCAGACTGCTATGCATGTATAACTCTCTGTTAAAACTTCCAACAATGCATTTCAGTTATATCAAGAATTTAAACCCTAGCGTGAACATTTCCTCATCTGTTTAAATGTACTCTCATCACACTCAGTGTTTAAGGGTTTCACACTTATCCGTCAGTGTAGCAGTAATTCCATAGGCTTGAACTTATTCTCAATTCCTAAGATTGAGGAATCCATTTGACATGCATAGACTGATAAAAGGTCTTTGACAGATTGTAACTTGGCCTGGTTTGGGGGTGAGAATCTTTTGGTCAGAAGCTGATTGGAGAGATTGAAATACTGATTTTAACAATACTTCCTTCTTTTCTGGGCTTTGCCTCATCTTACAGACTTGGGATTCTCTCCCTTTTTTTCGCTACCATTTTCTTTCCTTGTTTGCAGATGTTTTCTTTCTTTTCTCTTTTGAGCTGCAAATTTTCTTCTTTTCCTTGTTCAGCTACTTAACTTTTCCTTTGAGAAGTACTTTAACTTTTCTTCTTTGATCAGCATTCAATCTCTTTAAGGTGTGTCAAGAGGAACAAGATTAAGTAATTTTCATCAGGTTTGAATGAACTGGTTTAAGGCTCAAAAGGGCTTAACAATGAAAATTCTTACGGGTAGGCTGTTTGGCTCTAAGTTAACAAGAATAAGAATGCCCTTATCATATCAGTAATGCATGCAAGCCAGAGAAACAGTTCAAGTTCTAGAAACTACTACAGTGATGCCTCTCTAATTTTTTTTTCTGTTTAGGCTCAAATCCTCACCGTTATAATTCAAACTAGAATCTCAATTCAAAGTTTCACATCAAGCATTATCAAAAATCTCACCAAAATAATTATAAAAACGAGCAGTCATCATTCTCAGATTAAAACAATTAATTGCTCACAAATATCATGCTTCATCTAACTCAATCTAATTACTTACTGCGTAAGCTTAGAACACTCTGGGACTGCTTGTTTAGGAATTTTCTAAAAAATTTCTCTTTTTCTTTAAAATTTGAATCTAACTAAAAACAGCAAATAAAAAAAATAAAAAATAAAATTGAAGGTTAAAATATCTCCCCTTTTTCAAAAAAATTTCTGTTTAGACGTCCTTTCTGTGGTGTAGTTCCGCAGTATTTAACAAGCCTCGCATACAGTATGCGACAATTCCCAGATTTAGAACGTAGTTGTCCTCAGCAACAAACTATACTAGTCGAAGGACTAAATCTGCCAGATGGAACACACACACACACACACACACACACTTGTTAAACAGTCAAAACAAAATAAACTCAGTATGTAAAAGGAGGAAATAATCAAATCATAATCTCAAAACAGCAAAACAAAAAATACTAAAGTCAAGATAAATAGTGAGGACACTGGTGCTGACAGCGTGGATTTCATGCTGTGAACGCGGAGCTCACTGGAACTTTTTGATCAGTGGCGCCGAGAGCGTTGATTTCATGCTGTGAGCGTAAAACTCACTGTCTCTTTTCAGTCTTGTGGCGCCACTAGCGCCAAGTTGACGCTGACAGCGCCAATTCCCAGATTTAAAATTTTTCCATATGGTCACTAATTCACCACTTACTTGACTTATTAAAAATTAAACTATCCTGAGAAAATAAAATAAATAAAATAAAAAACAGAAAAACAACTATTGGGTTGCCTTCCAATTAGCGCTTGTTTAACGTCACGAGCCTGACGTACCCCTTGTGATTTATGGTGGTTGGAAGCATGCTACCATTGATGACCCAATCTTCTTGATCCAATATTGTTTCCTTTTATGATAATATGCATGTGGATAAGGATGGGGGTTCTCAGGAACTTTGAACTTAGTCTTCACATGCTTTTCCTTACTTTTGGGCTTTTCCATCTTAACCTTTGGCTTGCTTTCTTTATGCTGCTGATGGACTTCTTTCTTTTTCCCTTCCTCAGCCTTTTTCTCCGCAATATAATTGACTTGATTCTTAGGTTGAGAAGAAGGCAATGGAAGAGCTTCATTTATGAATACCTTGAATGTTGCTTGCTCTCCATCCACGCGCATTATCAATTCACCCTTAGGTACATCGATTAACGCTCCTAAGGTTGCTAAGAATGGCCTCCCGAAGATCATAAGCACACTGGCATCTTCATCAATGTCAAGGATGACAAAATCAACAGGAATTAGAAATTTGTCTACCTTGACTAGCACATCTTCCACAATACCATATGCTTGCTTTGTTGAGCGATCGGCCAGTTGAACATTCATCCTAGTTGGCTTGACTTCATCAATTCCCAGCTTCTTCATCTGGGTTAATGGCATCACATTAACGCTGGCACCGAGATCACATAAGACTCTCTCTATAGTTGTCTTGCCAATGGTGCATGGAATACTGAAGCTTCCTGGATCCTTCAACTTTGGAGGCATGTTTTTCTGCAGGATTACACTGCACTCCTCTGTTAATGTGACAGGTTCATCCTCTGTGAGCTTCCGCTTCTTAGATAATATCTCCTTCAAGAATTTGGAATACGAAGGCATTTGCTCCAGAGCTTCTACAAAAGGAATGTTAATTTTCAATTTCTTAAAAATATCTAAAATTGTAGAAAATTGCTTCCTTTGTTCATGTTGTTTGAGCTTCATAGGATATGGAGGTTTCTCAAAACGAGAGAAATCTCATTGCTTCTTTTGAACTGCAGGAGGTTGCTCTTTTGCTTTTTCTTTGCCTTCTTAGATGTGCTCATTCTTGTCTGTAGAAACTTCAACTTTCTCTTTTTCTAGCTTCTCACTTTTAGCAGTGATGGCATTGCAGTGCTCCCTTGGATTCACAATGGTATCACTAGGGATTATTCCTTGACTTCTCTCAGCCAACTGCCTAGACAACTGGCCTATTTGACTCTCCAGGTTTCGGATGGAAGCATCCTGGTTCTTTTGGTAGGCTCTTGTCTCAATTATGTGATCATTAGTAGTTTTGGCCAGTTGTATCATCGCTTTCTCCAATTCGGATGGCTCTTTTTGTGGCAAAGGAGGAGGTTGCAGATAGTTGTTGGATTTATAATCAAAGCCGCTCCCTTGATTCCTCCTTTGAAAGTTGTTCCCTTGGCCTCCATTTTGATTTCTCTGGTAACTTTGGGTATCTTGTGGTGGCCTTGGATCATACCACACTCCATTGACTTGGAATGGTTCAGCTCCATTGAATGTAGGGCACTCATTAGTCTCATGTGGCTCCGTGCAGTACTCACAGTTAAATGCATTAACTTTGGATGTTGAGATCTGCATCTTGTCGAGCTTGGCATTCATACTAGCCAACTGTTGTAAAATCACCTTTTGCTCCGCTAATGAAGCATTATTGCTCCCCAGTTGTAGAAGTCCTTTCTTCGGTTGAACTAGTTGAACTTCCATTGAAGCATTATCAGCTCTTGCCATGTTGTCGATTAACTCTAAAGTTTCAGCTGTTGTCTTCCTTGCTATGGTTCCTCCAGCTGCACCATTGACCACCATCCTGGATTCTGGCGTCATTCCATTATAGAAAACTCTGGCCTTCTTTCCATCCGGCAAGTCGTACTGGGGACACTTCCTGATCAATTCTTGGAACCTGGTCCAAGCTGCACATAAAGTTTCTCCCGGATGTTGAGTGAAGTTGGTGATTTCATTCACCAACTTGTTGTATTTCTCCCTGAAGAAATGCTCTGCAAAGAATTTAGCAGCCAAATCATCCCACGTTGTGATGCTGTTGGGAGCTTGCCTATCCAACCATCTCAGATCTTTCCCTGTTATAGCAAAAGGGAATAATCTGAGTCTAATTGCATCGTCGGACACCCCATTATGATTGGTTGTATCACAGATTCTCATAAATCTGTCCATGAAATCATGGGGGTCTTCATAATCTTCTCCGCCAAATGAATTTTTCTCAACCAAGTTTATCAGTGCTGGCTGAATGTCAAAATTATTGGCGTTGACTGGTGGTCTGATGATGCTTGAATTCGGCCGTGTAAACATGGGAGCCAAGATTGACTCCGTCAATTCCTCCGCAGGAGGTGGTTGATTATTTGCGGCCATCTCGGGTTCTGCTTTTGGTTCTGAACTCGAGGATTCTTCCTGCCTTCTTTGCTTGGCTAGCTTTCGATTCTTCTTTGCAGTTTTCTCTATTTCTGGATTAAGCTGTAAAGTGTCTCGATTTACTTTACCTCGCATAAACTGTAGCAAAAAGATTAGTAACAAAACTAAATGCAATTTAAATAATTAAATATAAAAATTAACCAAACTACAAGGGGTTCACATCAAGGGTTGTGACCCTTACCACAATAATACAAACTAGCCAGACATATTCATGTCTGACAATTCAAAATATTCAAAGGAATTCATAAAATAAAATAATAAAACCAGAAAATTGGAGAAAAAGCTTGCTCCGCGTTCTGCCTCCGTCTTCCTCTCTGTGCAAAAGTGTTTTCCTCTTGAGGTCTGAATCTCTATTTATAGAGTTTTTGACCTAGTGTAGAAATCTTGATTGAATCTTCATTTAAAACTTTCTTTTAATCTTCTGCTGATACTGATCAGATTTAATATTGAATTTCCGCACCTCCCACGCTACTAGCGTGGTTCCCACGCTGTGAGCGTGGGAGTTTTTGTGAAGAATCCTGGAGCTCCACGCAATTAGCGTGGTTGCCACGCTTCAAGCGTGGGTTTGTGAAAAGTCTGGCGCTACTAGCGTCAATCCCACGCTAGTAGCGTGGTAGCTTCTGCTGAATTGGATGTATGGCGCCACTAGCGTGAATCCCACGCTAGTAGCGTGGATGCCTCTGGCTGAAAAGCTCCTTTCATGCTTTGAGCGTCATACCCACACTGTGAGTGTGGGCCTTCAGTTTAGCTTTTTTCCTTTTTAGCTCCAGTTTGTCTGTTTTTCCTACGAAATCAACATAAAATCAGTATGCAATCTCTTATTGGCATTTTAACAGATCAACAGTAATATTTGCCCTTTTTGCTTAAGATTTAATCAACATTCTTTCTCTTTTTGGCTTAGATTTCCTTATATGCTGAATGCATATCAATTCCCCTTCTTCTCCAGGCATACGGCTGCCCCTGCACATTGGCAGGGGTTCAGCATGCCTAGCTTGAAAAGGCTAGGCTAGCTAGGTTGACCACAGCTCCCACTCTAGATACCCCCTCTCACATTGAGGAAGGGGCTTCTTCTCTTCCATCGAGCTTCATGCGCTACTACCATTGAGAGCTATCCTAGCCACTCACACACACTCCCCTTATGAACATCATGAGAAGTTTCACTAGTGTTTTGGTCTCTACCATTGTCATTTTATGTACACTAGTACAATAAGATAATTGAATTTGTAGTATTATATAATAATATTTGAGTAACACATCTCCTTGTGTAGTGGTTATTATGATGGTGTTTCATTGGTATAATAAGGAGTGTGTTTTTGTAAAGTCAGTGTGAAACCAGGATGAAATATTCAATTAGATTATATAAGTTCTTGAGGGTGAAGACCATCTACTTATAATAGAATTAAGAAAAAAATAATTCGTTGCTGCAGTCGTAGAATTATAGAACACCTCATAAAAAAATATTAATTAATCTGATGAATATTTGTTTAATTATTTATATTAAGAATGATATATTTGTTGACATTGACAAGAATGTTATTATTGATCAACAATTTTGGAACATGGGATATTGTCAGTTACAGTAAATAATTATCATAAAAAAAATTTAATATGTCTCAATAAATTTATATTATAAGTTTTTATAATCATTAACGTTTCTATTTGGCTCCTTCACTGAGTACAAAGGGATCAAAGATTATAATAATTTATAGAGTTAAATCAAATGGTCAATGAAGACCATAACGTATCTCTCGTAGTTTGTTCTCTCTCATGTGTCTTGTCTGTTATTCTTGTTTCCCTGAAACATAGCAAAGCCACGACCAAGTTCCAACAACACAACCTCAACATCAACTCCTCCCAATTATAATTTTCTACCTTTTCAACAAGGACTTTCACCGAGTACGTATACTCCTTTCAATTGCTTTTTTTTTTTAATGTATAATTTCTATTATTTCGTTCTTAGAGTGATGATCCCATTTCTGTTTTGATCCTCATATATATGTGCATGTGTTCTTTTGATACACATTCAAGGATCCCTTTTAAGGATGTCCCTATCTGCATTTTTGTAATCTTTTGCCATTTGATGTCTCAGGGTAGGTCTCAGTCCTTGCATGTATATCACTCCAAAAATATTTGAACTATTACTTCAACAATGAAAGATATGAATACGGATCATCACTGTAGTTCACCAAGAACGCCAAATGTTCGGCATAGAAGACGCTCAATGGAGGTTGGTGTAGTCCTTTAACATGTATGTTTGTGATTAGGGATACCTTTTTTCAAGTATATAATTTATTTATTTTTAATTGAAAAGTTTAGATTAAGAAAAGTCAGCCCAATGTTGTCAAACTCAAGTTTCTACGTAGAAACGGAAATGGGTGGTAGAAACTTAAAAAGTAAAAATGACACGAAAAGTAAAGTTTCTACATTATACTACTTAAGATCAGGATATAAAATTATATATATACATGTAAAAAAAAATATCACATAATAAAGATGTGTGTTAAGCCACTTATCTATCTAAAAAGAAAAATTATTTTTGATAACCAAATATCAAAATTATAAACAGTGATAACTAACAAGTAATGGATAACCAATCTGTTCTAACTGCTTCATACACTCTGCAATTTTGGATCATCGCTCATCAGGATATAATTTCACTTCTTTCAATGCACACAATGATTCAAAAACACAAAACAATTCTCATAGCATAACTTATAATAGAATTGCAGTTTTATAAGACATAATTATAAAAAGCATATATCCAAACAAAAAGATATGAAGATATGTGCATGTGATTTGAGGAAAACGAAAAATGGGTTTTTTTTTATTTCTTTTTTTGTAAATCTTTTTTTTAAAAAAAAAAGCGTTTTAAGTAAAAACCGTCAAAACGGTAAAAACGTAAGTTTTTGCCGTTTTTACGTTTTTACCAGTTTTTATCAAGGACCGTTTTTACTTGCGTTTTAACACGCACCACTCTTACACTAGTTTTTGACAACAATGGTCACGCCACTTCTAATGTAAGTAATTTTAATGTGCAATGATACTATTGCAACATTTTAATCTAGATTTTGTCAATTTAGAAAACAATGTACTTTATTAATGCACAAAAATATGATTCTCTCAACTCTACACTTTATAACTTATCTATATGTAGTTCAGCTTTAAATGGCTTATATTTATTAATCTCTTCTTGAAGAATGAAGAATGCTAATCAGTAGTGGAAAATATTGTACTTAATATGGCTGGCTATTTATGTTTCCAAAGCTTCTTTAATATTATTGATTCATTTTGTTGACATTTGAATTATAAAATTTTCTCTTTTACAAGTTAATCTACATATAGTTGATGAAATCATTGTTGGATATAGATTTTCCCTTTTGCGCATATGTAAAATTGCAATCAAATGCTAGCTATAGCTGCTGTAAAGTGGAAATGAAATATAAAAGAAAATTTTGGAGAATTTGAAACTCATGCTTGCTTTTTTGTGTCAGTTTCCTCCTGAGATAAGCAAACCAAATGGAAACCATTTACTTGTGGATGATAAATCTAAATACAGATCAATGTGGATCCGTGCATGCTCATCTCTGTGGATGCTAGCAAGTGTTTCATTTATCATATACTTGGGTCATCTTTACATCTGGGCCATGGTTGTTATTATCCAAATAGTTATGGCCAGTGAGCTCTTCAATCTATTGAGAAGAGCTACTCAAGATAAACGTCTCCCTAGGTTTAAGCTCTTGAACTGGTAAGCATTCATGCTGCTACAATTTCTAAATGATCATGTGCATATGACAAATATTTAATTAATTCATAGTGTTTCACAAAGAAAAGATTCTGAATACAATGTCCAGGCATTTTTTCTTCACAGCAATGCTATACGTTTATGGCCGAATTATCAGTCAACAACTTGTGAATACAGTAACCTCAGATAAATTCTTCTATAGACTTGTGAGCAACCTGATCAAGTATCAGATGGTTATATGTTACTTCTTATATATTGCAGGTTAGTACTTTCAAATGTTTTACTCATAGTCATAGGAATAATGATGTATGATTATCCCACCCCAATTATTGTGAACCAAAACTATGTTAATTTAGTAAAGATTATCGTATTATTCTTGTCTTCTGCTGGTTTAATTTAAGAGTCTGTTGAATTTAACAAATCTTTTCCTGACTAAGTTGTTTCATCCGTGATTTCAGGTTTTGTATGGTTTATTCTTTCATTAAAGAAGAGATATTACAAGTATCAATTTGGCCAGTATGCATGGACACACATGATACTTATTGTTGTGTTTACCCAGTCTGCATTCACCGTAGCCAATATATTTGAAGGGATATTCTGGTAACATGACTTCTGATATATTACTTGATCATGAAATCTATATTTTCTAATTCCTTCTTCTGCCTTTGTATTTTTGTGATTTTAGCTAACACATCTTGCAGCAATCTAGCTTCGTTTATATTTAATTAGAAAAATGTTGAACAGAGTTTACTTATAAAAAGGATACAATAAATCAAATAAACAATAAGTACTCTGTAACATTTTTTTCAAAATAAATGTTAGTAATTGTTCCTTGATAGTTACTATTTTCTTTGCATCCTTTTTTTCTGTTATCTTTCTCTAATGCTTGTTTTTATTCCAACCTATTGTTTGGTTGTGGAATATATATATTTTTGTATCCATTTAATGTGTTGAAAAAATATCTTCTATTTTTGATATATTGACTTTGGTATTGCTATGAACTTGATGAGTAAGAGGATACAAATGTTTGCGTCTGGTGTCAGATATAATAATATGGATTCTAGTTGTCACCGAATCTACTATGCAGTTGCTCAAAGATGAAATATGTTTCTATTGAATTTTGTGTTTTGACTGACCTATACTAAAATTTCTCATTAAGGAGAGGGGGGAAATAAAGAACGCAGATAACAGGACTCTTTTTAATCAGTGGTCATGACAGTCATATTATGTTGATATTTTTCCTCTCAAAGAGTTTCAGTTTCCTGCAAAATCATCCTCTATTTATTTTTTTTTTCTTCATTCAACGGATATTAGTATCTGCTTTGGTATTGCTAAGCATTGTGTTCTTCATGTTTTGAATGATTTTATTTTTTTATTACAATCTAACATGTTAATAATATTCTGAAGGTTTCTTTTCCCTGCATCCCTTATTGCTATGAATGATGTTGCTGCATACTTCTTCGGTTTCTTTTTTGGGAGAACACCTCTGATCAAGCTATCTCCAAAGAAAACATGGGAAGGTTTCATTGGAGCATCTGTTGCCACTATGATTGCTGCATTTACGGTAAGCACCAGTTAGTGATACTATTGTATTCAATGTGAAAAATCAATTTCTTTACTTGAGAAAGATACAGTAGTTGGTCCTGGATGAAATCAGATTACTAACCTGTGTTTGTTTGTTTAATATCTCTAAAGCTGGGTGATGTTTAGTGCAAATGAGGATAAGAAATTTCAATAACAAAATGTGTGTTCTTTAATTTTAAAGGGATCACTAATTTGGAGAAAAATTGCTTTCAGAGTTATGGTATTGTGTTTACTATACCAGAATTTACAGCCTCAGCAGCTATCTTTCTTCTGCCTAACAATAGAGATGTTTAGAAACTTTCAAAATTCACATCTTGTATATTTTGTTTGACTTTTCCATCTGTTGGAACTAGCTCTACTAGATTATCTGTGTACCTCACAACTTCCGCTTTATAGTTGATTTAGTGATGATGATTTCACCATTATTTGCAGTTTGCAAACTTCTTGGGTCGCTTCCAGTGGTTAACATGTCCAAGGAAGGTAACTATCTAGATTGGGTGCAGTCATCTAAGAGGAAATATTTGTGTTGTTCCTAATGATTGATCATTTTATGGAATAAATTCAGGATTTATCAACTGGTTGGCTTCAGTGTGACCCTGACCCAATTTTTAAACCAGAGTACATTCCATTGCCAGGATTGATTTCTCATTGGGTAAGTGAGAATTCTTGAGATTTAGCATTTACTAAAAGAAATTGTTAAGGCTGTTATAAATATGACATATAGTAAGGTTGGTATGGATATTGATCAAAATGTTGAAAATCTTGAATGTAAGTAAACATCCTTTAACTTTCTGGAAGCTTGATGATCTAAATGTGAAATAAATATACTAATTAAGAATTAAACGATAAAAGGTAAAATGTTTGCATCTTTAGTTAGCACTAACACTATTCATCTTCACACTGCAGTTGAGTATCTGGACAAACCTCTCATTAATGCATAGATTATCGTTGAACTAGGTTCTTATATTGGAAGAGAAGTGTCCTACCTGGGATTTGTTTGGGATAAAGCTTATTTTACAAACCAAACAAAATTGGCCTTCTCTTACACAACTCGGTTTTCTAGCTGAAGCCTTACCCTAAGTCCTAGAAAACTCCTAAAACCTGTTCAAGATTATTGAAAAAGGTTTTTCAGTATATAGATATTGAATAATTACCTAAGGAACGAGGAGTATTTATACAAGAAAAAATAGTTAAGTATGACTCAGCTATGACTCACCAAACATAATCACAATCATAAGAATGACTCAGCTATGACTCACTAAACCTAATCACAATTAATTCTAATTAATTACAATTAATCCTAACTAATAGGAAATAAAAACAATCAATCCTAATTAATCTTAATTATTCCTAATAAATAAAAACGAAAAAATATTTGAATTTGAATTCTGATTTTCTACACTCCCCCTTAAGTTGGGAGGTAAATGTTGATCATTCCCAACTTGCCAATCAAGTCTTCAAAGGCTGGCCGGTGTAGGCGCTTAGTGAGAATATCTGCAATCTGCTCTTTGGTAGGAATATACACCATACATACACTTCCATAATCTATTTTTTCTTTGATAAAGTGGCAATCAACCTCCACATGTTTTGTTCTGTCATGGTGAACTGGATTTTGAGCAATACTGACAGCAACCTTATTATCACAATACACTCTGACAAGTGGAGAAAAAGAGATCTTCAATTCCTCAAGGAGTCTTCTTAATCAAATTCTTTCACAAATACCATGGGCTAGAGCCCGAAATTCTGCTTCTGCACTGCTTCGGGCAACAACTGTTTGTTTCTTACTTCTCCAGGTCACAAGATTTCCCCAAATATAGGTGCAATATCCTGAAGTGGATCTTCGGTTCAATACAGAGCCAGCCCAATCTGCATCTGTATATATTTCAATCATCCTCTTGTGTCCCCTTTTAAAGAACAATCCTCGACCATGGGTGTTTTTGAGGTACTTCAGAATTCTATAAACTGCACTCAGGTGTTTTTCCTTAGGAGAATGCATGAATTGACTAACCATGCTAACTGCAAATGCAATATCAGGCCGAGTGTGAGATAAGTAGATCAACTTCCCCACCAATCTCTGATACTGCTCTTTGTCAACTTCTTTCCCATCTTTGATTCCCAATTTAATATTGGGTTCAACTGGAGTCTCTGCTGGCTTGCACCCAAGCATTCTTGTTTCTTGTAACAAGTCTAGAATATATTTCTTCTGAGTTAAAGAAATTCCTGCCTTACTTCGAGCAACTTCCATGCCTAGGAAATATTTGAGAGATCCAAGATCCTTCAGTTCAAACTGATTAGCTAAACATTTCTTCAAAGAACTTATCTTCTCGCAATCATTACCTGTGACAATTATGTCATTAACATAAACAATGAGAATAGCAATTTTACCACCATTAGAGTGTTTTAAAAATAAAGCGTGATCAGTCTGAGCTTGGAGGAATCCTCTTCCCTTAACAGCTTGAGTAAACTTCTCAAACCACTCTCTAGGAGATTGTTTAAGACCATAGAGAGACTTTTTCAACTTGCATACTGAATCGTCTCCATTTTCAAAACCAGGTGGTGGATCCATATAAACTTCTTCATGTAGATCACCATTCAAGAAAGCATTCTTTACATCTAATTGTTGCAAGGGCCAACCAAGATTTGCAGCAAGTGATAAAAGAACTCGGATAGTATTAAGCTTGGCAACAGGGGCAAATGTCTCTTGATAGTCTATCCCATGAGTTTGAGTGAATCCCTTAGCAACCAGTCTGGCCTTATACTTGTTGATGTTGTTATCTGCATTAAACTTTATTGTGAACACCCACTTGCAACCTACTGTTTTCTTTCCTCTGGGTAATGCTACAGACTCCCAAGTTCCATTTTTGTCGAGTGTATCCATTTCTTCAAAGACTGCATTCCTCCATTTTGGATCATCAAGTGCTTCTTGGATATTTTTTGGTATTTTTGTACTGTCTAACATAGTGTTGAAAGCACGAAAACCTGGGGACAACTTTTCATATGTGATATGATGAGAAATAGGATGAGCAGTACAAGATCTAGTACCTTTTCGGAGAGCAATAGGTACATCTAGGTTGGCTGTATCAGTGTTGCTGGAACTAAGACTCGAGTCAGAATCCTGGCAGTCTAGAGGCTCCTGAGGTGATTCTCACCTGCTTGTAAAACTTTCCCCATTTCCCGAGAGGATCTCCGTTATCTGACACATAAACTCCCCCTGTCTTTTGCATAATGACTCCCCCTGTCTCCAACGGCAAAGGAAAAACAACAGAATCATTTGGTTTCCAAAACTTATCTTCATCAACCCCAATAGACTCCCCCTGAAGAGAAGTCGAAGGAAAAAAAGATTGTCTCTCATCAAATGTGACATCCATAGAAACAAAGACCTTACGAAGTGAAGATGAGTAACACTTGTAGCCCTTTTGGTTAGGAGGATATCCTATGAAGACACATTTAATGGACTTAGGATCGAGCTTGGACCTTTGATGGGGAGGAACTTGTACAAAAGCCACACAGCCAAACAACTTGGGAGGAAGGGAAGAATGAGCCCGGAAAGAAGGAAAGGTATGGGTAAGACAAGATAAAGGAGATTGAAAATTTAGGACACAAGAAGGCATCTGATTGATGAGGTATGCTGCAGTCAAGACAGTTTCCCCCCACAAATATTTAGGGACATGCATGGTAAACATAAGAGCTCGAGCAACTTTAAGGGTCTATTTTTTCTTTCAGCCACCCCATTTTGTTGAGGGGTGTTAGGACAAGAACTTTGATGAAGAATACCATATTGGCTGAGATAGTTTCCAAGAACAGAATTAAAATATTCAGTACCATTGTCAGTTCGAAGAATTTGGATAGAGGTTTGGAACTGAGTTTGAACCATAGCATGAAAGTTTTTAAAAATGGATGCAGCGTCAGACTTATCCTTTAGAAGGTATACCCAACATACCCTAGAGTGATCATCTATGAAAGTTATAAACCAACGAGCACCAGAGATATTTTTTTTCATGGGCTGGGCCCCATATATCACTATGAATCAAGGTAAATGGAGAAGAATCATGATGGACTCTAGGAGGATAAGAAACACGAGAATGTTTTGCAAGCTGAAAAATATCACAAGAAAAAGAACTGGGATTTTTATTGATAAATAAGCTTGGGAACAACTTCTAAAGATAAATGAAATTTGGGTGTCCTAACCGACGATGCCACAACAAAACATCATTACAATCATCATCAGACAAACATACCGAGTGGTTCACAAAATTTTTTCCTTCACAAGAATCTTTTTCTAAATAATAAAGTCCTTCTTCCTCTCTAGCACTGCCAATCATCAGCCCCGAGTCCTGTTCCTGGAAAACACAAGTATTGGCAGAAAACTTGGCAACACAATGTAACTCAGACGTAAGTTTGCTGATAGAGATAAGGTTACAAGTAAAAGAGGGAACATGAAGGACTGAGTTCAAAGTAATGTGTTCAGAAAGTTTAATGGATCCTTTTCCAGCAATAGTAGAGAAGCTGCCATCTGCTGTTTTTATTCGTGATTGTTGATAGTAAGGGATATAAGAACAAAATAAGGTTGCATTACCTGTCATATGATCTGAAGCCCCTGAATCAAGAATCCATCGACTACTTTTATCAACATGGAACGCTATACCTTGTTGAGCAACATTGCTGGATGGAAATTTACTTTCAATCAACATGGCTGCGTGTGGTAACGCGTAGGGTGGACGCTCCGTCCTTTCTCTAGCACGTGGGGGCGCGTGGCTCAGCAGAATCCGATGGTCCTTCTTGAAACTTGTAGATCGGCTCCTTCTGTTTCGAATGGTGCGGATCTTGGTCGGAAATGTCGCCGGAAAAAATTTCCCGACGACTGCTGACGGTGGCTGACGGCGATGGAAAGCTGGGATTTTGCCTTCTACGTGATTGGTAGCCTTACTTTGCTCTTGGGACTTTGTAGGAAAGGAAAATAACCTTAATAATGGTTGGAGGTTGAGTTTTCCGGCGTTGTGCCGCCGGTTTGAAGGTGGTTGTGGTGGCTGAGTTTTCTCAGCACCAACCTGCTCTGATACCATATTGAAAAATGTTTTCAGTATATAAATATTGAATAATTACATGAGGAATGAGGAGTATTTATACAAGAAAAAATAGTTAAGCATGACTCACCAAACTTAATCACAATCATAAGAATGACTCAGCTATGACTCACTAAACCTAATCACAATTAATTCTAATTAATTACAATTAATCCTAACTAATAGGAAATAAAAACAATCAATCTTAATTAATCTTAATTATTCCTAATAAATAAAAACAAAAAAATATTTGAATTTGAATTCTGATTTTCTACAAAAGATTCATGCCCCTGTCCATATTTGAGCTACTAATATGTTAAGACCTTATTGCAAACTACCAAACATAATATCTTTAAAACTCGTTATCAAATGCATTGCATCATTCGGATTTGTTTCATCAAGAAAAATAAGACTTCAAGTATGAAAAGCTATTCAGTCTTCATACGTGTATATTTATGCGCACAAAACAAAATCTAATGAAAAGCCCGTAGTGATATTTTGTTAATCATGCTGAAATGATTAGCATTTGAATGATTAAATTAAATATTCCCCATAATCTTCTGAGTTTAAAGACTAAGTTTTTCACTTTGCAACATTTTGCAGTTAAGTTGGAAAGAGATAGCAGTTTTGCCAGTACAGTGGCATGCCTTGTGGCTGGGACTATTTGCATCCATTATAGCACCATTTGGAGGATTTTTTGCTAGTGGTTTCAAAAGAGCTTTTAAAATCAAGGTCTGCTCTTGCTCTTTATAGTAGGGATTTATTTGCAACCATTTCTCTTTCTCCATTCATTTTAAAATTCCCAAACATAACATTAATCTTTTTCAATGAATCCAGGACTTTGGTGGCAGTATACCTGGACATGGTGGATTCACTGACAGAATGGACTGCCAGGTTTGCATATGGATAGATAATATATATACTAGAATAACCCATGTTTTGTATCTGAATAGGCAATGATTTAATTCAGAATACAATTTATTTATGTTTTACAGTATTACAGTAAATCAATAACTTCTATCATTGCTACGATTTAGTTTGAAGTATTGGGCTGTTTTTTCTCTTTTTTATTTACCGTATGGTTGAGTTAAGATAAGAAACTGGCATTGCGTGCTTTATTGAACCTACAGATTAGCCCAAATGATGTAGAGTAATCATACAACAGGAATAGCTTCTATTATAAACTTCCCTTTATTTCTGGCACAATATAAAATTTCCTTCAAAAATACTTCAACCTTCTAAATTATGGGCTTCATCAAAAACAATTTCCCAATGCCTTGACTTGTCAAAGTGCAATTGATTCATTGCTATTGAAATTTCCAGGCCCTCGTTTAAATGCTTAACATAAAAATAACCTTCAATTTCACCACAAATCATGAACTACTTGTTATGACATATGCAATAAAGCATAAACATATCGTGCTGTTATTGTGACTGTTATGTTTTATACTGTTTTATGGCATCCTTTTCAGATGGTAATGGCTGTTTTTGTTTACATTTACCATCAATCATTTATTGTCACCCAAGGCTATTCAGTTGAGATGTTTTTGGACCAGGTGAGCTTTCGTTTCTCCAATTTATTGGGTAATTTTCAATCATATGAAAATTAGAGGATTCTGTTTCCTCCTGTTTTCTTTCAGTTCCAATATTACATAGATATAGGTTAAACAGAAGGTGAAATGTTTTGTTGTGAATCACTTGCAATTTTCTATTTATGGTGTAGATAATGAGGAACCTTGGTTTAGAGGAGCAACTAGCTCTCTACACAAAACTCGGGCAGATATTACAAGAAAGACGTTTTATCCAGACATGACAAGTTCACTATGTACATTTTATCAAGTATGCTTCCATTGGTGTTATATTTACAGATGATGACCCTTATTGGAAAAAGTGGTGGAGATTAGTAAAGAATTTTTTTGAGACCTCTTTTTTCTAGCTGCTGAAGTATATTTAGCTGCTGTTAGCAGAAAGTACACTTGTAATACATAATTCTGTTCTTAATTTTCTTTCTTCAAAATTCAATCAAGAATAGTTTATTTTCTCAGAACTTACATAAGCCGGAAAAAAAAATCTTTCAAATGGGCCTGTAATTTTGTTTTGGATAGTGCTCATCTCTCATCTGGTTATATACTGAACCTCTGCATGTTCTCTCAACCATTCTAGCACCTTAGCTCCTTCGAGTATTTCTTGAACCTTCAGGAAAGTTAAAAAAGATCATATCAATCAATCCTTTAAATTAGGAAAGAGAGAAGTTTGGCCCAAAGCATAAATTTTCCTCCTTGAAAATGCAACCTAACCTACCATTGTCTAGACAATGTATAGAATTTAGTTAATCAACACTCTAAGCAAATAGGAAGTGCATATCCTACATGGAACATTTCGAAGGTGGTTCAAGATATTTGTAAATTTGCTTATGCATATATGCAATGAAAACAACAATAACAGTTAACAAACTCAAAATTAATGTGCAAACCTGTCCCTTCACCCGTTCCTCATCATATTCTTGTTTTTGACGTTTGAATTCAACAATGGAGTTCTCAACCTCTTTGACGAGGTCCTCAGTAGAAAACTACAAAACATATATGCACAAATCATTCTAATAAGCCAAAGCATTCACCAAAACACATTAGACAATTTAATAATAAAGCAAGTGACATGCAACGCAAATGTTATTTCTCAATCACATTAAATTAAGTGGCCCTAACATATTTATATCGTCTTTTTTACAAGGGGGAAGAATTTGTTGTCAGTATGACCTGAGGAAATATTTGTAATGGATACATATTTTAATCAGACATGCATACCTGCAAATTTTCACGCCTATATATATCACCAACTGCAAGATTCTGTTTTATCAAATTTGTTATATTTTCCTTCTGATGCTCAAGATATTCGTTCACAGCCTTTGGACTTGATAGAGACGCCAGCTGCTGCTCATTTAGTTTTACTTTTGCCTGCATCACAATTATGCTAAATAAGAACTAGTACAAAATTGAGTGTGTGTGAGAGAGAGAGAGAGGAGAGTTTTCTTGTATTAAAATCATAAATAAATGTAAAACTGTTGGAATTCAAGTTGCCTGATTGGCCTATATAAGTTGCATCTTGCAATCAATACCTGTATTTCTAGTAAGTTGGCTCCATAAAGCTGCCTACCTTGCTCCTCAAACAAGGATTGAGGTATGTCAACTTCTACACTCTGAAAATGACAAGAAGCACAGCTTTTTTGGGATAAAGTATGCAGACACCGATGTTCTTTTGCAGCAGATAATGCCAAAAAAAAAAAGTTTGGTAGCAAAGGGCCAAAGAGAGGGAACCCAAATTTAAATGAAATTTGTGTTTCATAAACATCAGATGTTTTCCAAGGACAAATTGTCCACCATACGTGATATAGATGATTTACAAGATATATCAAGATTCATAAATTAACCACAGGTCCAGAAGGAAAGGTGGGTTTTCCCTTGTCATCTCTTATCACAAAATTACAGAAATTGAAGTGCTTCGTTATAATGGTTATATGCCTACCAGCAACATCAATATCCACATTACCTTTATCCTAAACCCTAAACTAGTTAGGATCCGCAGCGGACAGATCCATATAAAAGAAAGAACAAGTTAAAGAAGAATAAATAATAAATAAGAAAAAGTAATATACATACATATATATATATATATATATATATATATATATATATAGGGGAAGGTTATATTTACAAACTTTTTATTTACAAACTACACTAAGTATGACCGGTAATTTGTAAAATAAGTTTGTAAACGGATCTTTCCTCATATATATTTATATATATATATATATATATATATATATATATATATATATATATATTTCCCACTGCCAAGTTTTGTTTTACTACTTTCCCTCAAAAGTTTGGACCGAGCTCATCTTATCGTTTCTTTACGTCATGCTCTCGGTAACAAATTTCTCTTCTTACCGGAGCATCTAAGGGTTATATGCCTACTAGCAAAGGAAAAGAAACACTAAAGTGTATTCATGTGAGATGCGCATGGTATAAGAAGCATGCATATTGAAAACAACATGTGGAAAGGTACATTCTAATCTAGAAGACAAGACAGATTTAATCTAATACTGATACTTATTAATATGATGCTACCTTGGAAAGCTGATCTAAAATAGCATTATCAGCTGCTTGTTCTCTAGCTGTTTGCTCCACCTCTAGGCATTTCTGTAACAATAAGTCTTTGACCTGGCAATTCATGCTGGAGAATTTTATTCTGAATTCAACATATAATTCCTCAGTTTACACTTTACAGTGCCCCCCAGTACATAAGGGGAAAAAAGTCACCTGTTCCACTGTTGTGCATCCAGGGAGAAGCTTATCAGCAATAGAATCATCCAGCTCCGGTAAATCTCTGTAAAAAAGTTCTTTGCATTCAACCTATTATAGATGAAAGTTTAATAAGCACGATCCGATAAAGTTCAATAGGCACATATATATATATGGGCTTATCATTTCTGCAGCCGCCGTAGATAACACTCTCTACAGCTGACACAGAAAAATGGGTCCCACGGCGTTTTAAAAAAAAAAAAAAACAAGGATCCGGTGCCGTATCCTAAGATCCGCACGCGGATCCTGGCTAGCTGTAGGTGCAGCGGCTGCAGAAATCATTTTGCCTATATATATATGTGTGTGTGTATATATATATAGGGGAATGTTATATTTACAAACTCTTACAAATTATACTATGTTCTTCCGGGAGAACACTAGGTTACACTATGTTCTCTCGAGAGTACATAGTGTAATTTGCAAAAATTTGTAAACGGATCATTCCCCATATATATAGGCATGTTTAAGCAAGGCATAAGCAAATAATGAAAATGAAATAGCAAATATTCACCAACTATTCATGAAGTACAAAATTTGTGTCCCCGAGAGAATGAGTTAAGCACTGTGAACCCTATTTTGGAGGTCCGAAGTTTGAATCCCATTGAGAACAAGTATAGTTAAATTTTAGCAGAGGGATAAGCTACCCCCTCAAATGGAAAGCAAAAAGTCAGCAAGACTGTATTTAGACAACATGCTTCAATTGATTACTGTATGATGGGCCAACAACTAGACAAGTTGAACAAGAAAGGTAAAGCTAAGATCATAAACATACTAATGTAAGAAAATGCTACTCCCTCGTTTTATAAATCAAAAGAGGAAAACTGTATCAAAAGAAGAGATGAAAAAGCACCATAAATTGTGTTAGATATATGGCTAACAAGAATTTATGATAAACGAGTTGGCATCCAAAGGACCAAAAGAAAAAACTAATATGCCAACTCGTGTCACTAATACGATTAATTTTTTTATTCAGCATTAGAAACTTACAGTAAACTGAGCATGAACACCACGAAGATTTTCTTGCTTCCATGTTTCAGGAAATACAAGAGGAAATGACTTTGTTTCGCCTCGACAAATTCCAATTATAGAATCAAGGAAACCCGGTAAAACTTTGTCACCATCTTCTGTATCAAAATTAAATCCTGCATGTATAATAAAAGGTTTAGAGGAAATATGTTCACGATATATTACCCAAAAAAAATTGCTATCACTTCTCAGTTTATTGTCATCCTTCAAGCACATCACCGGACCTTTACTTTCTGCGGAAGGAATAATTTTAATATTTGATTCATCTTGGTCAATGGTTGTTGCTGAGATGTCAAGGACAACAACATCACCAACCTGTGAACAGGAAAAAGTATCTTGCAGCAGGCAGCAATATTTGGTAGACTAGTTGATATCAATTAATACAATCATTAATTATCAAGGTTATTGTAAATGGGTTTTATGAGTATAATGTTACATGACCCAAGAAAATTTTCCTACACACAGAATTAAGAGGTGGGGTCCACATGTTTTTTTTTTCTCTTTCATCATTCTGCTTTCTCTCTCCTCTTTATTGTGAGTGTAGGAAAGTTTTCTTACATCATGTAACATTATACTCATTAAACCCATAGTAACTACATACAAAAAGAAAAAGTACTCATATGACAACAATTCGCTATTTTGACATAGTAAAGATGTAAAAACAAGCATAAAAAATAATCAGTGAATATCATTCATTGTATCAGCTGCGACTAAATATAAAAATACATGAAGATATCTGGATAGTTTCTTAAACTTGTACGTGTTATGAATAAAATGATTCATGAATGTTTCAAATGAGTAGCATTTTTAGTAAATAATCATATTAAAAATGAAAAACAAACTAATGCAGTCAGATGACTGGTATAAATTAAATTCAGTCACCTGTAGCCCTCTGTCAGTAACAACTTTCAGTGAACCAATGGACTTGTAACGCCTTCTAAATTCTTGTTCAGATGCTCTGTGAGCATCTATATCGCTGTCTATCTCAACAACAATCTTCAAATTTTTGTATGCATTCTCAGGAATCCATTTTATTTCAGGCACAACATCAACAATGACATCATATCTGGAGAAGTGGAATCCATGAGAAGAATCAATATAATCTGCTTGTAGAAATCATTGGCTGACAATGTGAACATTCCTTAATGTCAATCTTCCTTTTTTTTTAATGAGAGAAAACAGTTGTGCTAATACAGATTCAGCAAAGGAAAGAAGACAAAATGTATTTCAAACTGCTTAACCTATAGATTACGGTACCTAAGAGACCCGAGAGAAGAATATGTTTCCTCCATCTCAGAAAATTTAGTCACTATACGTACTGAGTCCTGCAAAGCCCTTCCAGTAACCTATAAAACAAAATTGATTCTGAGATGCATAAGTGTAGGATCAAAATAGTATTTTTGATATGATAATTAGCTTTTTTCAGTAATTACTTCAGACAAAGGATCAGGAAATTATAAAGATTTTTTTTATCATCTTTTGATCAATACAAATGTCAAAGGCCTTTGCAAATAGATTCAGATAAATGAGCTATCATAGACTTTGATAATGAGAAAAGGTCGATGCTTGTGCAATGTGCATGAACTGATAAGCTTGTCTTTCAAGAATGAAACTATATTTTAGTAATTTGATGAACATGAATGTTAATTAGCAGTTTCCCAACCAATATCAAGGAATCCTTCACAGATATAATTTCAAATAAAAACAATGAACCGGACATTGTCCAAAAGACTAACATCAAGAAAGTAAGGAAATCAAAAATAAGAAAACAGAAACCATACTGCAACATACCGATTCCAGAGCATGTGAAAGTGTCCTCCTCAATATAGATTCAACCGTAGCCTTCTCAACATTTTTACTCCCAACATAACTAACAAGAATACTCTCTGGAACCTTTCCAGGGCGAAATCCAGGGATCTGTTCATGAAAAATAATGATAAATTAGCTCATAAAAGTAGCATGCTGCATTTAGATGCCAAAACCTAGGATCCGTGACAATCTTAGGCAAACTACTTTGTGATATATGGTTAAGTAGTAAACTCATATAAGATAGGATAGAGAAGATTGTAACATTTAGTAATCTCAAATTTTCTACGAAAGACAATGTAGAGGTTAAAGTCTCCAATTTAGAGGGGCAAAAAAATCATTAACTAAAATCATAAACAGGAAATCCTCATGACAGAAAACATAAAGAGCACTGTTTTGTCGGACATATTTTCTTTTAGCCTGAATATGAGGAAGATATTATATAATTTTATACAGCATAAATTAAGTGTAACCCAATAGCACCTTTGCTTGCTTGGTAAGATCAGCTATGACCCTTTTGTAACAATCTTCACATACCAGTGGTGGAACCTCCACATGCAATCTAATCTGCAAAGAGAGATATGCAAAAACACATATTCAGTGATATGAATTCTAGGCCAAAGATATGTTTACCATTATTTTATTTTAAGGGTTTCTTTTTGCAAATGATTAATGATGCTTGCACAAGCTTACACTCACGTAACTCCTATGCAAGCCATTGAATAAAACTCTAGTTTGACTATCACTTTTTAGGGAAATGACAACATTTGTTAAACACCCCTCATCAATACCAATAGTTTTCAGGATGAAAGGAAAGAGAGGGAGGGGGGATATGGCAGGTGAGAAATAATCAAATATGTGAGAAATGTCATATATGCACGTAGGGGGTTGTTTGGTATGTTTCATTTTATGTTTTCATTAATAATTTAAAAAAAGGAAAAAACTTTTATCCTTTTAAAGGATATAACTTTGTGTCATTTTAGATTTTAACAAGTGATTTTCGTCAATCAATGGTTATGATTTATTGAGTCAAACTTATTAATTAATTATTAATTTGTAATAAAACCCAATAAATTCTAACAGTTGATTGACGAAAATCAATGGTTAAGATCTAAAATGACACAAAATTATATCCTTTATTTGGAACGAGAAACTTTTCTCCGTTTAAAAAATGTCACATTGTTGCAATAATGTTCTGTTTTCAAAGTTTTTGTAAAAGAAAGGGCGAAACACAAAAACTTAAAATCAGGAAATAAAATAAAATTAGCGTGGCATTTTTTAAACTATAACTATCATATAAACAAAAAATAAATAAATAAACAGAAATCAAAGTAAACATCCTGACATTTTCCTCTTTTATGTAGTCCTAATTGTGCACACACATTACATAGATTTTACAATTATCATTACCCTTTACACTAAGCAATATCCAAATAAACCCAAAAAAAATAAAAAATAAAAAATGGTATAATGGACTATGACAAAGCTAGAAACCACTTTAAAGGATGCAGCATAAAACCGAGAGGGATGGAAAATAAGAACATACTCTGGAATTGGGTTCCTCTGTTTCGGAGACCTTCAAGTCTGCTGGAAGAGGGTCATTTTCTGTGCCACGTGCGACCGAAGAAGAAGAAGAAGAAGAAGAAGAAGCTGAGACAGTGAAGGGAGAAGAACTGTGATGATAGAGAAAAGGTTGAAAGAGGTGAAGATGAGGAGTAAAAGATGAGAGCTTGAAGGACTTGACTTTGGAGGGTCCAGAGTTGGCACGAAGAATAAGAGACTTTGAAGAGGGAAGAGAGAAAGAAGGGTTGAAATGGAAACGAAGGACACTTGTGAAGGTTCGGGTACACAGCTCCATGGCCATCAACACCAATCACCAGAAACACAAACAGAAATAGGAGAGCCTGGTCGGATAATAAAAAGATATTTTGTATTTAAAAACAAACTATGACCTGGCAACAAAAATAAAACAACAAAAATAAAAAAAAAAATTAAAATATGACAATTTTAATTAGGGGAAAAGGTTTGTCCATCTAAACGAAGAAGTTGTATGACTCACACTTTTATTTATTTTTTTGTCTACTCTTTTTCTTTCGTGATCTATTTTTTTTTTTAACTTAAAATTACACAATTTTACATCATTTAAAATGACACATATTTTTCTCTTTTAATTATATTTTTAAGTTTGTCTACATATAATTATATCATTTTAAGTGAGAGAAAGAGGTACATAATAAAAATTATGAGAGAGAAAGTGAGGGGTTTTTTTAATTTAAATTTTAAATAAAAAATATTAGTTTTAACTAAGATGACCATCCTTTAAAAGGATAAATATTTTTCCTATTGAAGTGAATTTTGGATACCATCGTAGTAGGTACAAGTAGTGTTATTAAACTCGACCTGAGTATCGATCCGGTCGAGATATTGGATCACTGGGTCACTGGTCAAACCGATTGACCTGTATATATGTGTGTGTGTGTGTGTGTGTGTGAACATATAAATTTAATTATATTACCCATGTTTAGAATGAGTTAAAGAAGATTCACTAAATAAGCTCAAAAATTATCCAATCATATTTTTACAATTTCATAAAGCACAAATAAATGAAAATACACGCTATTACGATGTCAATTTAAATTGCAACTCAGAATTCTCATAAACATACATCTCAATAACATTCAAAAGGCCAGATGTTATCAACTCATATTTTTTAAATTCATCTACATTGAAATGGCATGTGTCATACCCTTTTAATTTATTGTTTTGCAAATTGGTTCACTATAGGAAACTGAAATTTGAGATCATTGTAGAAGAATACACTACTAGCAAATAAAATTTTAAAAATAAAATAAAATGAGTTCTACATTTTTTATAAGATAAAACAATTTTAGTTTTTTTTTTAAATGTATAACCCGATTGGGTTACTAGGTCACCGGATCACCAATTTTGACTGAATTTAATACATGGCTGATCCGATACTTGACTAAAACCGATTTGATAACCTATTCGCCGAATTTCGTGTCTACCCGACCGAGTCGAGTCAAGTTTCATATGGGTACAAGTACAACACTTTGCAAATTAGAAAATAATAAGAACATAAAAGAAAATAAATAAAAAGCAGGGGATTTTTTTTAAAAAAAAAAAAAAAAAAAAAAAAAAACAAGCAATTCATATGGTATAAAAAATTTCTTCTTTGGGAAAGAGAGGTACCTAATTCGATACTCCCTGATATTTAAAATATTTCCATCACATACCCAAGAACGTTTCTACTGTAGTCCGGGAGCAGATGGTCCGTTCCAAAATAAAAAATAAAAAGACATAAAGAGAGAAATATAAGAAAAAAAAAGAATATAAAAATAATTGTTTTTACCAAAAAGAAAAAGGAGCACAAATTATTTTTATACTCCTGGAGTATATTATAAAAATCGCATACCCAAAAGTGAAGAAAAATTCTTATGTAATCCATATATCATTCAATTATTTCAATCCCCTATTTTTAAAAAGACAACGATATTTAAAAAATTAACCCTAACCCAATGGGCTGAAAACTTTTTAACCCACAATATATCCAATTGGCCTGCAAACTATTAATATATATAATCTCCAATAAATTATAATTAATATATAAGAAGTATAGGAATTTTTAGCTTAAGTTAATCCCTTACTATAATAAATATAATATTCAATAATTTGAATTGATGACTATTAAAATTTTGGGTAACTTTTTGTTAATATAATAATAAAACTAATTAGAAAGTTAATTCAAATGTTGATTTCACTTAAAAAAAATTTAAACAAAAAATGATGGTGGGTAAATGGGATAAATTAGTTTGCACTAGTCAATCTATAGCAAGTTGATCACGAATAAAGTATATCCAGTTAGCCTATGTTTTTCTTTCCTTACTTAAAAAAATGTATATGATATATATGTGGAGGACAATATGTTTTTAAATCAGCTATTAGAATGCTAGCTTAGGCCTACTTTTAGTAGCCTTACGTTAGTGGGAGTAAACTTTCTATACATTTGGTATACTTACACCTTCTTTTCTTTTTTTTACAGTACCAGATATACCTACACTTTTAGGTAGTGTTTGGTTTGGAAGAAATTTTTTTTTACTAGGGAAATATAATTGATAGAGAAATGGTTAGAAAGTGAGTTTGGTAGGAAAATGTAAAAAAAATTGTTTGGTTGACTCAAATATTACCAGAGAAATTTATTTAAATATGCAAAAACTATGGTCGGGAGAAAACTTTGCACCTGTTTTTTCACTTCCCAGTTATCTCAAAATACTACATCTCAAGTGGTATTCTGTAAGAGTGAATTTTATCCAAAAATCAACACAAAATTCATTTTCCCATCTATCCTATTTGCCTGGTATTTTTTGAAAAAACCTGAACCAAACGTGGTATCTTCCAATATCCACTTACACTTTCCCATCAATCCCAAAATAAACCTTCAACCAAACACTACCTTACTAAATAAGAAAAGTTTTTGAGACATTAAAAAAAATTAAAAAAAAGTAAGAGTTAAAATAAATAAAAAATTTATTTGCTTGTTAGTAAACAGGTATATCAAGTTCGGTACACAAGTAGAATTAAAAAAAATTGCCGTTAGTGGGTTAGTTTTTTTTTTTTTTTCTCTTAGACTCATGTATACTTTCTTATGTTATCTTTTTCTTTCCTTACTTAAAAAAATGTATAAGATATATATGTGGGGGACAATGAAAATATGTTTTAAATCAGCTATTAGAATGTTAGCTTAGGCCGTCTACCAAAAAAAAAAAAAAAGAATGCTAGCTTAGGCCTACTTTTAGTAGCCCTTGCGTTAGTGGGTTTTTTTTTTTTTTTTTTTTCCTTCTTAGACTCATGTATACTTTCTTATGTAATCTTTTTCTTTCCTTTTTTTTTATTAAAAATGTATAAGATAATATACGTGGAGGACAACGAAAAAAAATCAATTTTCAATAAACTTTGATCGGGACAGTGACTCAAATTAGAGAGAAGGAAAAAGAGAAGTGGGTGAGAGAAATAACGATCTTTTTAATAAAGTATTAGGCCCATAAAAAAATTATAAAATACAGTGACTCCAAAAGATGAAACTTCAAAAATAGAAAAATAAAAATAGCATGTAGTTATCTTTCATTTCTCCTTCTTTTGAAGTTTCTTTCTTTTTTCTCCTTTAATACAAATATAAAATTATCTTCTTCTTTTTTTTCTCCCCCAATACAGTGACTAAAAAAAGAGTCTCTACCAAAAAAACAAAGATGAAAGTCATAAAAGAAAATACAAAGTATGAGAAGTGACAGAAATAACGATATTTCAGTTTCATTTATCATACTTGGAGGATATGATGCAGTAGTAATTATGAATAATAATAATAATAGAAACAATAACACTTCATGTAATTTTATGGTAACCCAATAAGCCACCTTTCTAAGGGTTCACGAAAGCTCCTAGACTCTTGCAGTTTTTAGCTCCCATGTACTTTCATGGCTGCATTGTGGACTTGTTGTGGCAACTTCAACAAAATTTAATATTATTAGTCAAATAATCGATAAATTGGTGGATATATCTAAAAATTCAATATTATTAAAACAAAAAGAAATATTTTTGGTGGGATGAGAGCATATGTTCAATCTTCCCCAGTACCGTTTTTGAGAAGAGTTTAAAGCCTTAATCTCTAATTCATCCCGAATCAGACTAGTTGCGAAGCGAACTGTTTGGAATATCTCAAAAAAAAGATCTTTTGAAGCCTAAGTTTAAATATTTAATTGTTTTTTATATTATCCATCAATTATTCGATTAGTCCAATTCGAGCGGAGAATAATCATATGAGTGGCAAAACTCTCTCTACTAAGTTTTAATACAATTGTGTTCTTAGGCACTCAAACTTGAGACCACTAATTAAGCTGGAACAACTTCTTACAAAAAAATTTATTTGGTTTTTCTTCATGTATGTATTGTAATTTGTATGATTTTGATTTTAACGGTATATTATTAGACGGAGCAATATAAATGACTTGAATCAGACTCTAACTGGTTTGGATTGAGTTTCATGCCAACGAACCATATCCATTATGAAACATATGTAGATTTTATCGGAAATACCCTATTCCACGCGTGGCCATGCCATAAAATATAAAATTCCATAACATACTCACTGCAAGCCTTTTGGAGCCCAATACTATAGCATATTAAGGGTCAAAATTAAATAGTAAGTGCAATCTATTGCATTTTGATCTAGATAATAGTGAATTAAAAGAGTAATGCTCTATGGCCATAATTATGATAAAATTCAACTGGACTCATATATGGTTGTTTGATGGAATAAAGTAGAGGGAATCACTCACCTATTCAAGAGTTTAACAAGCATTACAAATCACTATATAAAAAAATCAGAAGAAAAATTATGGCAAAGTTAAATTTTCCTTTTTTTCAATCCCCAGAGTTTCGATATAACTGAAAGCTTAGATATGAATTTCACCAGCTTACTTGATTTAAGATGAACAGCATGCATTCATAGATATGTTGAATATATAAATTTTATGTACCATCTAGATTTTAAAATCTGAAAGAAGGCTTTTTCACCAAATAATTGCTTTTTTTTAAAAGTACATATTTAATTTACTTTTTTAAAAAAAAAATGAACACAATGCGGTTAAATATGCACAAAGATCATACATGACAAGTCTCGCACGTTAATGATGCAAGACTTAATGTCATTGTTGAAGTCTCACATGTTGACCATGCGAGGCTTTTCATGTCCTGCACTTGATTATACAAGACTTAATGTCAACACGTAAGTCTTACATGTTTGTCATAAAGTCTCATATATTTGTTATACGAGACTACCACATTGACATTAAATTTTATATAGTCAACGTGCAGGACTTAAAAAAATCTCACATAATCAATGTGTGGGACTGTCACACTATATTAAATCCCGCATTCTTAACGTACAAGATTGACCATATTAATTTGTAATATCGTTTACAAAACAAAATAAATAAATGTTTAAAGGAAAAAAAAAAAAAAACTCTGGTTTGGTCGAAAAACTCATGTCCAAGTTTTATCATTGTTGCTCTTGCTAGCTAATTAGCTTTTAGAGTATCAGTTGTGGAATCATAAATTTGAGCAATGCAAACGGAGTTGTCGTAGTTTTACAATGAGAACGGAGTTGAAGTAGTTTTAGCCAAGAAACATGTATCACTTGACATATTTCCTAACAAATTAAATCGAACCTACCTAATGAGTATGAAAGCAATGGATATATCTTCAAACTGAACCTTAGTACAACAATAAAAACAATACCTTAGTGGAGTTGACCACATGGATTATAATCAATGCCATTGGATTCTTTCAAAAATCAAGCTTCCAATAAAACCATTTCGAGCAAGGTCTTTGTATAATTTCTCATGAATTTTTCTCAGTCTTCCTATATTCTGTTAATCAGACAATAATTTTGCAGTTTGATTGATTTTTCTCATTAGAGCTTCTTCTCCTTATATAACCAAACCATCATTCCAAAACATTACATCACTGGTCCCAAGAGATGCATTAGACAATCGACAATGAACATAAACTTTGCCAAATATTTTATGACGTGAATAAAATCAAAGCCAGACCTTGGTTGGATAAATTATATTGTTGGTTGACTTTCTGAACACCACGTAGTTCCGAGTTTTTTACTTTTCAAGTAATTTAGACCTTAGAAAGAAACATATGGATTTCCATAAAGCTACGCTAGCTTTCTGAATTCATTATAAATGCTAAAAAAATTGGAAATAGATTCCCTCGTGATTTATTTAACATTATATAGTCATGTTGAGAATGTTGGAAATAATCAAGTATGAGTTGTAAAGAAGTACCACATAGACTAGACATAGACCAAGTGATGACCATATAAGTGCAAAAGACCCATAAACCTACAGTCTTAAGGTTTTGGGTTGAGATGTGGTGTCGGCCCACTTATTGTGGTTTATCATTTGGCTCATTGGTGGATGTACACTTTGCAAAGGGTTTTGGGCTCCCCCGTACCATTCTCAACAGTGATATCAGAGCCAACGATCTGGGCCAAGTGTTTGGAAAGCCTCTGCAGAAGGCAGTGATATCATAGCCAACGATCTGGGCCAAGTGTTTGGAAAGCCTCTGCAGAAGGCTAGTGTGACCCTAATATTTTGAAAGAGAGAAAAAAAAAAGAGACTTCCACATAAGTTGCCCTTAGGGTAAGAATGATATTAGGCCTCACACTTGAGGGAGGATGTTGGAAATAATCAAGTATGAGTTGTAAAGAAGTACCACATAGACTAGACATAGACCAAGTGATGACCATATAAGTGCAAAAGACCCATAAACCTAGAGCCTTAAGGTTTTGAGTTGAGATGTGGTGTCGGCCCACTTATTGTGGTTTATCATTTGGCTCATTGGTGGATGTACCCTTTGCAAAGGGTTTTGGGCTCTCTCGTTCCATTCCCAACAGAGAAATTATAATAATACTGAATTAATGGTGGTAATTTTATAATTAATTATTTATTTTAATATATTTTTTATTTTTTCTTATCATCATTTATCTATCTTTATATAATTATCATTCCTTCACATAATCATCATGTCATGTTAAATAACACATGCCAAAAAAAAAAAAAAACTATGGAAGATTTATTATATGGACTCGTATCCTTTCCTAATTCTGAATCTTGCGCATAGCAACTGGTGAATACTATGACCAATCATGGTGGGTCCTTGCATGATAAAAATTGTGTCTATCTCTTCTCAACAAGACCCTATACTTTTATTCAAGAACGAGGAGAGGATTCAAATCCTTATTGTATACCCTTTTTATACCTTCCCATCAATAGCAATGAAATCCGGGAGATCCACCAAATAAGTAGGCCATGACATTGGTAGCTATGGAAACAGGGGAAGGTCTATCCATTTTTAACTCAAAAGTCCGCACTCTTGTGAAAGGAGAAGACAAACCATCCAATAAAGAAGGAAACATAGACAGAACCTAGGAAACATCTAAGACAGACAAGGATTTAGTTCAATGTACAGTAAGCTAGCAACTATTAATTGAAATACCGCATTTAACAGAGAAAAAAAACTTACTTGAATGATACCTCTTGATAAGGATACAAACTTTACACTCCCCATCACTTCAAACAATTCAATTAGCTGAAGAGACAAATTAGTGGCCTCGTTCAATTCATCAGAGAGATCAAAACTGCCTAGATCAATATCCACTTTCTCCACAAAGGGAAGGTTCACCTTAATGGAAAAATCATAAAGATACCTAAAGTCACGATAGCTAAAAGATTGGAGCCTTGGCGTAAAAAGCTCAATCACACAGTCTGAATCAAACACTTGATCCACTCTCATACGCGATATGCTCAAGTCAGTGAGTTGAGGAGCATAGATTTTAAAACTCTCAATTTTGCCATAGTATTGACAACCATGTAGAAACAGGCATCTCAAATTGGTACAACCACCGAAAGGATCAAGAAGCTCTTCAACCCCGCACTCGAACCGGCAATCAGAAAGATACAAATGTTTCAAAGAAACAAAATCAAACGTTGTGGTCTCAGTTGCTATGTCTGCCAGCTTGAGGGTGGTGAGGGAGTGACAAGCATAGAGTTGAGGTAACTTCCCCACAACACATTCAGCAAGGATGCTCAGAACCTGAATCCCCGATGGTATAACATAGACAATGATGGAATCTACGATGTACCCATCTGTTGGGAAATTCGTTCCCTCAAACTCCAATGTCAAGCGGGTCCAGGGGAAGCCCGTGGCGGGGAACCACCACCAATGAGTTAAGGCTACACCAACCGTAGCAAGTGGATCCGACACCATGTCTCAACCCAAAACCTCAAGGCTGTAGGTTTATGGGTCTTTTTTGCACTTATATAGTCATCACTTGGTCTATGTCTAGTCGATGTGGTACTTCTTTATAACTCATACTTGAATACTTCCAACATCTTCCCCTCAAGTATGAGACCCAACATTATGCTCCCCCTTAAGGGCAACTTCTGCGGAAGTCTTTTTTTCTTTAAGTATTGGAGTCACACTAGCCTTCTGCGGAGGCCTTGAAACATCACCATCTCTAAATACCCGGCCCAGCCAAACCTTTGGCTCTGATACCACTGTTAAGAATGAGCATAAAGTTTACAAATTGAAAAGTTGAAGCATGTTGAGATTGGTGGAAGAGTCTCTGCGGGACAACATGTGCTCCACGAAACACTGGAAAAGGACAGGATCATTGAAGGACATGTCGTGGAAATTGAGGACTTGGAGGGAAGTCCAAAGGTACCTCCATCGCTTGCTTAGAACACTTGTTTGAACTGCTGTTTTTGCGTCCAGAGAGGAAAGTATGCGATGGATCACTTCATCTGGCAAGTTGCTTAATCTGTCCTGCTTCACTATGCTGCTCTTCTTCTTGCTGTTGTTGTTGTTTTCTTGTGCTGGAATACCCAAAACCCCTTCTTGTTCAACTTCAACCGAAGCCTTCATCTTTTCTCAGTTCTCACAAAATTTAGTGTCTTTCCTTTTTTTCCTTCTCTGCATTTTAAGCTTCTTCTGTCCTTTTTCTCCTTATCTCCTAAGTATTAACTTAATTAGATTTTTCTATAAATTAATTCCCTTTCTTTATCTCTTCACGAGTTTCGAGTTAAGAAAAAAGAATTTAATATATGTTTATTGAAGATAAAGTTATCCCCTACGAGAATGGAATCCTATGAAGAGAAAAGAAAGAAAAATAAGTGATTCATTGTGATCCTGGTGGATACCACTGTCTCGTCAACAGATGTTTCCTGACCCTAGGGTAAATTGAGGGTCGTTCTTGATCCTAACGAGATTTGTCTAATCTCACTTAAATTTTTAAATAAAATTATTTTTTTGGAATTGATGGCTCTCATGTGACATGAAGATAACATTTCTCTGTTCCACAGAGATAGAAAACGGTGGAGCCCACCTAAATATAAATACAAAAAAAAAAAAAAAGGAGGCTTTGATTTTTCTAGTTTTTTTTACCTTTACAAATTGATAATAGGATGTTCCTAGTCTGAATTGAATAAGTTGTGTAAATAAAAAAATTTGATTCAATTTCTTCAGTTTGATTATGTAATCATCCATTTAATTTAGATTTTTTTAAAATCTGAACCAATCAAATCCAATTTTTTTGTTTGAATTGGATCGGTGTTTTCGATTTTTGAAAAGACTAAAATTTGTTTGATGATTGTTGTACGAATAACATATCTTTTGTATATATTGGCTTTGTAAAGTTTTTTTTTTTTTTGAAATACGAAAGGATCATTAAATGATAATCTAATTTTTTTTATTTTATATTTTCGCAATGAGATATGAAGCTACCAAATTTTGCTAATGGGGGAATGGCTAGATTTTTTCTTAGATTTAGCTGATGGGTTAATAGGTTTTGATTTTAAAATTTTTAAGGCTATGATTGGGAAAAGGCCGGAGTAGGCAGAGAGAAATTAATATATGGATCGATTTGAGTTGGAGCGATTTGAATTGGATCAGTTTTATCCAACCAAATCGAAAATCGATCCAATTCAATTAAAATTTGCTATTTTTTTCAGTTTTCAGTTCGGTCACCACAATTTAAATCAGTTTGTATCGATTGATGAACACTTTTAATAGATAATGTTATCTCTTTGTAAAGATAACGTCATCTCCATCTTGCACTTAAATTTATAAAAAATTATAAGACTATAAAATAATTGAAAATCAAAATAATTATAAAATAATATATATATATATATATATATATATATATATATATATGGGCTTATCGTTTCTCAAGCTGTTTGAGATAATTTTATCTCCGACTACTAAATCATAACCGTACAAAAATGGATCAATGGTGATAAAGGAAGAAAGAGAAAAAGAGAATCATAACCCTTCAAAGGTGAATCAATTAATATAAGGAAATAAATAAATAAAACGACATAGTTTTGAGGTGGCCGGAGATGAATTTATCTTAAGTTGCCGGAGAAATTTTTTTCCTTATATATATATATATATGTATTAATTTAAGAAAATATATAAACATAAATAACATGTAATTATCTTTCATTTATTTTCTTCACATTTGGAGTTTCTTTTTTTTCTCTTTTAAAATTGTTTGCCCAATCTAATAAAAAAAATTAATAATTAATTCTTACCCCCTCATTTAATTTATGCTTTTTTTCGGGTAAGTGATAATACAAAATCAAATAAAATATAAAAAATTCCAAAAAAATAAAGAGAAAAATAAATAACTAATCCATTGATCAACAAGTTAACGAAAGACAAACTCGAATAACATTTTAATAGTTTAAATCAAATAAAAGCTATTTTTTTATGTATTAACACATTAAAATTTGAATTAAGTACCTTATAATGTTGTAAAGTTTATTGAATCTTTTTCGCAGTTTCGTTATATTTTTCACCAACAATAAAAGGTTAGAGTAGAGTTGATGTTGAATCTAAGGGGCTATTTAGTAGGAGTAACATTTTTAGAATGACAGAAAAGTGTAAGTGAGATTTATATATGCCCATGTTTGTTAAGAGTTTTCATAATATTTGCCCGGCCATTTTATTTGTCCTGCATTTGATGTTATGTACAAATTATATTATGGATTTGGTGGTATTTTTCATTTGCCGGATGTAGGGATTTTGACACGAAAATTTTCGATCAAATGACCACTAATAAAGTGAAAGCAAGAAAAAATTAACCAACACATTCATTATCATATTTGAAAAAATAAAGTGAAGGTGGGGTTATTGTTGTAAATAACCCTACATTTCTGCTAATATTTTACAATCAACCAAAAAAGGCTCAGTAAACTTAACTAAAAAGTCTCAATAATATTTTCGTATACCAAACATCTTTTTTATAATATTTTCGAGTAATTCACTTTCCTATCATATTCTTAATAATTATGATTCTCAGACATCAAAAAAATTTCCTCTACCAAACAACCCCTAAAAGATCTACTCTTGCATAGATACCTTTGGCAGCTAATCTTTTGGTGATACAATAATAGCATCTGAATGTGCAAATGCTGGCAAGGGCAGAATATGTCAAATCATTTGCAGGTAGATAATTACTTGAATAGAAGTTATGAATCCTTCTTGTCATTAATGTCATTAATAATTAGAGTTTAAAATTTTTTTCTGTAAACAAGAGATAACTTTTATCTTTTTTTTTTTTTTTGGAAATAATAGGAAATTAAAACAAAAACACAACAAAAAGAAACTAGGCACAAAGCCTAGACCAGTGAACACCTATAGTGTCACCATACAGACTATCAATACAACCTGACGGTGGACAATCAAATTCCTGAATTACCCAAGAGAAACCATAAGAGTAAGAGGCTAGAAAGTCCGCTACTCTATTTCCTTCACGGTGAATGTGAGACATATAAATCTGCCAATCTCGCTGCATCAAATTTCGAATACGATTCACCAAATTAGTCGCAGGGTAATCATGGTGGCACCCATTTGTAATGAGTTGTTGAGCTGAAAGAGAATCTCCTTCGAGCCAAACTTGCCTAAAACCTCTATCCCAAGCTAGCTCCAAACCAACCAACCAAGCCCATAACTCTGCATGCAAAACTGTACCTGAGCCTAAATTTTTACAGAATCCGACGATCCAAGTTCCTGAGGCATCGCGAAAAACTCCTCCACACCCAGTCCTAGTACCATTAGCATCACATGCACCATCAACATTAAGCTTAACCCAATCCACAGGAGGACAACACCAAGCAACCAATCTCTCTATTCGATTCCTTGGTTGATTGCCCGCTCCAAAAACAGGGTTAGCTGCAAGAGCGACACTATCTCTGAAACCAATTGCTGAACGGATAAGTGAATAAGCATTCTGGCGATCACCTTCAAAAACCCAAGAATTCCTACATTTCCAAATTTTCCAGGCTAAGATTCCAAATAAAAGAGGCCAGTCCGACCCCATCCCCTAATCCTTTGAGCTGTCTAAATTAGAAATGATCCAATTGTGCAGGTTGAGGTTGAAAAATTCACGCTGATTTATATGAGGCATTATCATGCACCATACTTCCTTTGATTGTGGACAGTCGCGAATAGTATGAAGGATAGTTTCACTAGACTGATTACATCTAGGACACAGATCTGAAAGAGCCATATGACGGCGGAGTCTACAAACATTAGCCATCAGCTTCTCCCCTGCCATTAACCAAAGAAAAAAGCGAATTCTTTCTGGCCCCTGCCATCTCCAAACACTTTCCCAAGGAAACTGTTGGATTGTAGTATCTTTGATGGCTAATATTGCATATGCTGACTTAACAGTAAACTTGCCATCTGTCGTTCCATTCCAAATTAAATGATCCTGGCCATCTTGACTAGAAGGAGGAAGAAAATTCATAAATCGATGCAGCACAGAATCTGGAAGCAATTGTCGAAGAGAATTCCATTTCCATTGCCCCAATTCATCCACGTAGTCCACCACCTTCTGAAGAGTATCACTAATAGAAAACTGAGAACCTGCATATGAGATCAAAGGACCACAATCGGGCAGCCAGCTATCAAGCCAGAACATAGTGGACTGACCATTGCCTAACTGCACCCGACTATGATCCATTATAATATTCCAATGACGCGTAATTCCCTTCCAAAGCTGGGAGCTGCTGTTTGGAGCATGAATAATTGGTGTCATGCCTGCCTCCACATTGTACTTAGCACGTAAGAACTTTGACCACAAGGCATCTGGATGAGCTACGAGGTTGAACCCAACCTTCATGATAAATGCTGAGTTCATTTCCCTCATACTCCGCAGTCCAAGGCCTCCATTTTTTTTATCCATGCAAATCTGCTTCCAGGCCACAAGATGAGAACGTCTAGAGTGTGGAGATGAACCCCAAACAAAATTTCGAATCTTCCTATCAATCTCTTCACAGGTGACTTGCGGTAATGAACACACCTGCATTGGATATGATGGGATTGCTAATAACACTGCTTTAGATAATGTAACACGACCTGCTAGAGATAGACTGGCATGATTCCAAGCAGCAATTCTAGAATTCATTCGATCCAAAACATAAGAGAAAGATGACTGACCCACTCGCTTATGATGCAAAGGAATTCCCAAGTATCTTCCAAGATCCGCAGTCAAAGAAAAACCAAGAAGCCCACTAAGATGGTTTGCTTGAGTATGACCCACATTCTGAGAAAAGAAAACTCTAGTCTTACTATGATTGACTTTTTGACCAGATGAATCACAAAATATATGTAAGGCCTGTTGAATTATTAACACTTGCTCCTGAGAAGCTTCTGCAAACAAAAGGAGATCGTCAGCAAAAAATAAGTGGGAAATTTGTGGAGCTCCCCTTTTAATCCTCACTGGCTTCCACCTCCTGTGATCCACTGCCTGAGAAATGAGATGGGCTAGTCTTTCCATGCAGAGGACAAAAAGATAAGGAGAAAGAGGATCTCCTTGTCTTAAGCCTCTAGTTGGCCGAAATTCTTTAGTACAAGCC